AAAGTATGGTTTCTCTTCTCATTTGACAAAGCTATTGAAACGTTATAAATATGGAACAAAGTTAACCATGCTATCATATCTAGAGTCGATTGAATTCGGGACGATGGTTGATTAGTGATGTTGATGAAAACCCACACCCCTCTCTTGAAAAGCGCCACGTAATAGAACAAAGCTGGTAAGGAATAACCGTGCGATTAGTCGTAAAGATGTCATTATATGAACTGTGTATCTGTAAAAAAAGCTGTGCAATACTCCTCTCGATACCCTTTTGATGTATTAAGTAGGCTCCATAGGGATTTTTGACCTAGCGAGATCTGGGTGCGAACATAGCGGGAGCTTTAAAAGTGTCGACATGAGAAACAAATATGGTGGCTCGATACGATCGCACGATTGTTACCTGAAAAGGCGTGTTAAAAGCAGTTTACAACACAATACGGTTTTTTTGTGATGGAATCTAAGGTTTTCAGCAACTGCTCCTGTGATATTCATAGGCCTTCTACGCCTGAAAAAGAGGTCAACCGAAAAGAAAACACCGTGGGAAAGGAGGTTGCCAAAGGCGACAGATTCGAAAGGCTACGTATGGTCAGATACTGATCTTAGCGAAGTTCTATTCCATTACGCAATGTTTTGCGACAAAGAAAATAGGGATCTTTCGAGTAAGATTTATTGCTTCAGTAAAAATTTTCCTAAGGTTTGCTGGACCGTTACACATATTTGTGCCCTTCCTAGTGCCTGTTAGTGAAAAAAAAGTATACCATCAAAAGTTAAGATTGAGGAAGAAAACACAAAATTGCACATTTCACAAATCGTGAAAATTTTGGGAGATTTCACCCAAGCAAATCGAAGAAAAACAAAGGCAAAGCCAAATTATCCCTGGCGAGCGCCTCTCTTCGTGAAGCCTTAGATTATTAACGAAAATCATTTTGAAAATATCTACTACAGCAAACGATGGTCCGAACCTTGCTCATTGTCTTTTGATGACTTTTAGTGACCTTGAAAAGCGAAAACATAAAAATTTTTTAAAATAACAATACGCTGGCGCGTCAACATTGAGCAAAAACCCTATGGAGCCTTCTTAAACCAACAAAAGCAACGTCACATATCAGCATGGATCGTACCTAGAGACATCCTTTAGGATGATATCAACCTCCCTTTACCCTCCTTCCAGCTTGCCCCTATCAATACACTGTCACGTTCTCTCCACTATTGAACAAAAAATTTTTTCTTCATCATTAGGATCAGCAACCAATAGAAGTTAGAGGAAAAGTATTAACTCGAGCTCAATGGCCCACTCAGCTGGAACTTATCCCGGTTTCCATGTAACATGAAAACGACGAGGAGTATTACTACTCCCCCCTGGATGGGATCCAGGGGAGAGTCTATCTCAAGGTTACCCCCCTAGTATTTCATCTGGTTTCCCTGACAACTCGCTGGTACCTATTTATACTCCTGGGTGGATAGAGGCATTGTGGGAATAAAGTGTCTTGCCCAAGAATACTACACATTGACCTGGCCTTCTCGCCCTGGAGTCCAGTACACTACATGACCGTCAGGCCTTTGCTTTTCCCACACAGCAACCAATAAGGGAGATGAATGGTTCCCTTACTTGTGTAACGAGTTTTGATCGTGACCTCTCCAGTGTCATGAGCCTTGCCAACAGCTCCTTTGATGTACTTTTGTTTACTTTTGCCTCCATTTGATGTACATTTATCCCCACGGCTGTTTTTTCTCTGCTTCATAGGGATCAGTACCGCAGCGTTAAAGGTGAGGCTTTCTGTCCTTGGTGGAAGATCGATTACAAGGTCTTTTCTATCCACTCTCACTTTCCGAGGAGGATTAACCAAATCGATCGCAGCGGAAACCTCGTCTGGTGAATGATCTCTAAAGTTATATTGACCTTTCTCCAACATCTCTTTATCGTTCCGATTGTTGTTAACAAGGTACGTTATGTTTTTGTCCATTGCATCAGCTAAAGATGAATAACAATACTATACTAGTGTAGATGTCAATTGATAGAAAATCTACGCATTCAGCTGCAACTGTAAAATTTTGGTAGCAAATTGTTATTAACAAGGTACTTTATGTTTTTGTCCATTGCATCAGTTTAAGATGAATAACATTACTATACTAGTATAGATGTCAATTGATAGAAAATCTACGCATTCAGCTGCAACTGTAAAATTTTGGTAGCACTTACCATTCAAAAAGACTTTTACGTCACATAGTTGGAAGTAGTCTTTTGCTGCAATAAAGACATATCTTCCCAGCATTGGCTCAGCACAGCTGAACGAGGTGGGCGTCAATCTCGGGATGCGACGACTTTTGAGACACAGTGGGTTGGACGTAAGATGAGCATCTCTATTTCCTATAAAAATGTACAATTTAAGCGCTAGCCATGGCTATCTATTCCATTTATGATTTTTTTCTTTCTGTATTTTGATTTGTTTATTTATCTTTTTATCTATTCCTTCATTTATTTAACAATTGTTTATCACAAACCTTGGGTGGCAAAGATTAGGCAGCCTTTGAAATCGCAGTAGTTACGTGTGATATGAACACTCTTTGAATTTTCACTCTAAAATAGATTGAAGAAATCCCATTGAAAAGTCTCTTACCTATTCTAATGTCAATGTTTGACAGATTTTTTTTACTTTTGATTTGAACGTTCTCCACCCATAGATTCTTCCCTAAATCAATTTGCAACCAAGGGTTTTTGAACTTGTTTAAACTTTCAAAGCAGGTTTCTTTCCCGGGTTTATCGTCGTCCACCGCTTCACGAGCGTCGCCGTTAGACTGATGACTTTTCAAGTTGGTTTGTACTGGTCTTTTGTAAGCAACGTTTATGTCTAAATGTGAAAATGAGAAAGTGTTGTGAGTATTCATGCTTCGCATTTATTTAGTAAGCTCGAAAAAGTAAGAACTTCTTTAGCCTTTCACACACGCAGTTCATTGTTACCACAAAGTTACATATTATGAGGTATTTTTGGTAATACAAGAAGTTATCAAGCGAGGACTATTTCTTTCAGAAATGGGAAGAAGACAAGTACTTTACAACTTGGAAAAAAAGGGTTTCTCCTCCCTTCCCCATCTCCCGGTCAGTAAATTTTGTTTAAACTTGATTTAAGTCGACCAGATTTGTATGTAGAAAAAATTGACAAATCAAACAATACAGGACCTTAATGTGATAATATTTCGAACTGTGTTTATTATCTTACCTTTGGAACTTGCTGTTTGCAAAATTTGTAGGAACACGAGACATAAAATACCAATGACAACTGCTTTCTTCATTGCAGCACGATCTGTGTTCGAAAACCCGCTACGTCTCCTCGGTATG